TGAAGCATCCTGTGTGAAGCATCATGTGTGAAGCATCATGTGTGAAGAATCATGTGTGAAGCATCCTGTGGGATGCGTGTGTTTGTTTATTGTATTAAACTAATTTAAAGACCATTTTTGAAGCCCTCCTTCTTTTTGTTTCTGCATTGTGTCCACAAATTTCTTTAAAACGTCTTCGGCTGATCCAAAATGCTGCTGCCAGAGTCTTAACTGGAGTTACTGGGAGAGATCATATTGCTCCAGTTTTAGCTTCTCTCCATTGGCTCCCTGTCAAATTCAGAATTGAATTCAAAATCTTACTTCTAACCTACAAAGCCCTCAACAACCTAGCTCCATCTTATATTACAGATCTTATTCTTTATTTTTTTCCCTAACAGAACACTTTTTCTTTCAGACTGCAGGTTTATTTGTGGTTCCTAGAATTTGCAAAAGCAGAATGGGAGGAAGATCTTTCAGTTATCAGGCTCCTCTCTTGTGGAACCAACTTCCATTTTCTGTTCATGAGCCTGAAACATTGTCCAGTTTTAAGTTTAGGCTCAAGTCTATAGTTTTTGATAAATCCTGTTGTCTTGGGTTTCTTGAGCTATCCCTTAGTTATGCTGCTATAGACTGCTACAGGACAAACTGACCATATTCTGCTGTTGTCTTTTGTTGATCTACTCTACCCGTTTGTATTTGTAATTATTTCTATCTTAACAAGTGTTGTTTGTCTTTCCTCCTGTAGAAACCTGGACCTGCCATTGTGTATCTATTCCTTCTTCCTGTCCTCTCAAACCCCTAAAACTGAATCGAACTGTGTAAGTATTAAGCACAGAATTTACCACTGGAAAAGCAGTTTGATTTCCATTTGGCACTAATACATAAACGTCAAACTAAACATCGCGAAATAAAAAATCAAACGTAAAAAACATTATCCTTAGATATGTGAGATGGAGCCGTTTGAAAGAGTTTGCTGCATAGTTTTCTCGATATATTAAAATGTAGATCTGAAATGTGGGTACGCACTCAGCGTAAACAAAGCACTCGGCTGAGGTCGAGACGTTTGACTGACCGACATCAGGCCGGCCGTGTCTGTGTAGGTGATCCAATACGGCAGAATGGGGCAAATGTAAAAGAAGAAGCTGTTGATGTGGAAATATAAGAGTGAAACTAAACAAGAAAGAAGAGGGAAGATCAAACAAGCCAACTGTTAAGAATAAATATCAAGGGTCAAACAGGAAACAAGGCTTTTGTGAAACTATTGCCAAACCGATGTGTTTACCATTAAAGCATATTTCCAGCTCAATCCCAAACAACTTTTCTTCAGCTGTCACAGTTGTTGACCTGTTTTCTGTCATTTCGGCTGTTTCTGTATGTTGCATGGTTGCAATTTTGCCAACAAAGTTTTAATTTAAAGACACACCAACCATCAACAGGAGATAAAACTGTACAGATTTTGCTTCTTACTACAGGAGGGTTTTTTTCAGTCTTCGTGACTTTACTCTGAGTTCTTATAAATGATCAGTAATCTTAAAATAGATCAATTCAAATAGTTGTAGTTTTCTTAAGTAAATAAGATGTGTTGCTGTAAGTGCAGGCGTGATGTAAAACCTGACGGTCATTATACAGTGAGACATAAAAAATGTCAAGAATTCACACACACACAGAAATGAACACACATTTTTGTTGCTGTTTTACTGCGACCCCATTGGCTGCTTGTGATAAATGGTTGAGTTGTTAGCCAATCAGAAGCATGTGACCGGTGAATATGTAGGCTGATCAGAATCCGCCAGCCCAGTATCACCGTTTCCTCATTTCACACACACCATCACACACACACACTCACACACACATCTGTAAATAGGCTGCTAGTAAACACACACACACACACAAGTCACCGTCAGTCATCATCAACCATCTCATCATGCACAGCAAAGAGCAGATCAGGTGAGAAAATGTCCCTAAATTATTGCTTTTCTGACCAACGTTTGTCTGTTTTATAACTTTAAGTTTCTTAAAATATTTCAGATATATGTTTAGTAATTTTTTTTTAAAGGCTTGTTTCTGTTGTGTAACCTTTTTCACATCTGTTACAATTTAAATTGATTTATTAAACAACAAAACAAAAAGATTTTTAGCAACATTTTTTTCCTGTTCTAGTTGGGTTCACTTAAGTAGCACTGCAGCCCACAATTCAGAGTAGAGTTGCAAAAAATGTAATAAAAGTAAATAAACCAAACTTTAACTACATTTTGGCCTAATCATAAGATACAAAGGCAAAGCAAAACAACAATTTGTGGACATGTTCTTCCAGAGTACGTGTATATATATTATATATATATATAATATATATATATAATATATATAATATATATATATATATATATATGTGTGTGTATATATATGTATATATGTGTGTATATATATGTATATATGT